ATGCAAAAGGGTTGGACCATTCTGTGCCAATAGGGAAACCCACCATCAGAGGAGATCAGAATAGTGTTCTGGTGACATTATGCTAACTAAACCCATAATTTGCTTCCTTTTATTAAAAAAAAGGGGGGTGATTTTGAAAGGAAGAAGCCACATAAAAGTTTGAGTGCTGGATTCCAGGAGCTGCTGTTATGTGCCTCCAAGTCATTTTCAACTTATGGCAACCTTAAGGCGAACCTATCATAGGGTTTTCTTAGCAGGTTTCTTCAGAGGGGGTTTGCTGCTGCCATCCTCTGAAGCTGAGAGAGTGTCACTTGCTCCAGGTTACCCCAGAGGTCAAATCCCTGCTCAGCCATCAAAACCCACTTGGTAACAATTAATTCTGTTCTCCCACATTTCTCCCAATATGGAGCCAAAGGCAGCTAACAATTTTGAGTTCAAACCGTGGTTAGTACAAAAGTTGGAAAAACAATCAGTCAATCACATTACAGACATTAATTTAAAATACTTTTTTTAAAAAGGTGGTTGAAATATGAAAATGACAAAAGTTCAAATGTAAATCCAACACAATCAAGATGCACAGACATCTGCACCAAAGAGTTTGTCATTGCCCTGGATAAACAGAAAGGTCTTCTGTTAGCAGAAGGAGAGCAGAGAGGGGCCAGGCTAGCATCCTATGGCAGAGAGTGCCATAATCTGGAAGTGGCTGTCAAGAAGGCTCACTGCTGTTCCTAAATGTCCCTGTGCTTACAGTGGGACCAAGAGAAAGCCCTCCTCTGAGGATCTTAAAAATTCAGTCAGGCTTCAATTGAGAGATATGGACTTTCATAGGCTCTGCATCAAATCCGTATAAGGCTTCAGAGGTCATAACCATCACTTTAAATTGTGCTTGGAAACAAACTGGTGGCCAGTAAAATAGGGGTGTTCATATGTTTCCTGTAACTAACCAGCACTTTGGCCATAGCATTTTGTTCTTGCTGCAGTTTCCAAACAATTTCCAAAGAGAGTCTCATGTACAGCAGGTCACACTCTCTCAGCCTCAGATGGGATCAGTTCACACATTCTCCGTCTCAAAGGAATCATAGAGTTGGAAGAGACCACAAGGACCATCCAATCCAAAACCCCTGCCATGCAGGAACTCACAATCAAAGCACCCACAACAGATGGCCATCCAGACTCTGTTTAAAGACCTCCAAAGAAGGCGACTCCACCACAATCTCCGAGGGAGTGTGTTCCACTGTCAAACAGCTCTCACTGTCAGGAAGTTCCTCCTAATATTGAGGTGGGATCGCTTTTCCTGTAGCTTGCATCCATTGTTCCAAGTCCTATTCTCTGGCACTGCTGAAAACAAGCTTGCTCCCTCCTCAATATGACATCCTTTCAAATATTTAAACAGAGCTATCATATCATAGGGAGGCAATGGCAGACTCCTTCTGAACAAATCTGGCCAAGAAAGCCCTGTGATCATTTTGCCTTGGGGTCACTTTAAGTCAGAAACAATTTGAAGGCACTGCGTAACAACAAATAGCACAGGATACATGGCACAGGTTTCTGCAGCAGAGTTTCCCGAGACATTTTGCTGCCTGAAGCAGAGCATAATGTGTCAACCTCCCCTTCCATATACAAAAGCCAACTTTTGAATCTTTTGAATCTTTCTCCCACTCTGATGATGGAGCAGTGTCTACCAACATGCCTGAAGGCAACAGGATAGTCAAGGAGGCACAGGCCAGGCCACATGGCACACCTCCAGCCACCTCACTTTGCCCTGCTCTCTGACCATGGTGCTGATCAAAATCCTTCCCACCCATATGCATGCACACACGTTACCCTGCAAGAAGTCTTTTAAAAGCCTTCACACTGGTGGGAGTGTTTTTCTTTCTCTAAGGCTCACAGCTGTGTAGTGGGGGAGGGATGATTTTCATTGGGATCACAGCTGAGTTGGGAGCATTCAAACCTCCCCCCCCCCACATGCCACAAGCCCAATAAAAATGCAA